TCCAACCGGATGATAAGAAGATGTAAAAACATCCAACAGGACAATAAGAAGTTTAAAAACAAGAAAGGAAGATATAGAAACACTCAACCAACTGATAAAATACAAAAAAACACATCTAGCCAAATAAAGAAAACATTAAACTGGGCAATAAGGAGGTTTCAAAACAACCAACCATTTGATAAGACAGCTTTCAACTATCCATCCTGACAATAGATGAATAGAAAAACATCCTACCTGATGATAAAATTAAAAATATTTCATTAGACAACAATATTTGAACAAAAAAAAAAATAATTTAAAACATACAAATTTAAGCAGACAGATGTTTTCTCTCAGAGCTCCAACGCAGCCTGCAAATCCTAGAGTGAAGGTGAAGGCGCCGACAAACAGAACCAACCAGACTGGGTCAAAACCGTGCTGCCGGGTCACCTGGGTCAGGTCCAACAGGACTCCCTACAAATGGGACAGTACCAGAGAAACCATCAAAGTGAGTCGTAAGAGTTTGTGGTTCCTGTGGACCAGGTTTTCTTACCTTCTCGCTCCAAGCCCAGAAACCGGCAGCAATAAAGGCTGCTCCTGCCAACTGCAACAAAAACACATATTTCATCACCACGACCTTTGACCTTAGAGACAAACACCAAGTTATCATCAAGCACATGTAGAACCATAATGGAGCCTGTGACAACCCTCCTACTTTACTGAATGTTCCTGGACCTTCCTTGGAATATTCCTCCAGTATGTATTGGTTCTAACACCAACAGAATGCGTTCTGACTAATAGAGTTAGAACATTCTTTAGAACAATCCTTTGGTTTCTATAGATTCTGACTCTCAAGGATAAAAAAATCCTGAGAACTAATTTCTTAAAGTGATCTTCGACTACTTGCACATATTGGCCTTAATATGTTATTAAACCTTGGATGTTCTCCGTCTGCTGGACCCAGTTCTGTGAGGGCAGCTGCTGTGGTCGTTATTACCATCAAGCTGCTAACAGGACCTGCTAAGAAGACCACGCTGCTAACAGAATAGAGCCATGTTGCTGAAAGAACCTTACTGCTAACTGAACCACACTGCAGATGTTTTTTCCTCCACTTTTGGTGCCTTGTTTTTGTGTTTTTGCTGCATAATTTGGTATTTCTTGTCGTTTTGTTTCTTTTTGGTGAGTCGAGACGGTTCTTCTCGTCCTCAGCATTTCATTGCATTACTGACCTTGTGCTGATTTACATACAGTGCCTTATGAAAGTATTCGGCCCCCTTGAACTTTTCAATCTTTTGCCACATTTCAGACTTCAAACATAAAGATATAAAATTTTAATTTTTTGTGAAGAATCAACAACAAGTGGGACACAATCGTGAAGTGGAATGAAATTTATTGGATGTGTCAAACTTTTTGAACAAATAAAAAAACTGAAAAGTGGGGCGTGCAATATTATTCGGCCCCCTTGCGTTAATACTTTTGTAGCGCTGCCTTTTGCTGCAGTTCCAGCTGCAAGTCTCTTGGGGTGTCTCTATCAGTTTTGCACATGGAAACACTGAAATTCTTGCCCATTCTTCTTTGCAAAACAGCTCGAGCTCAGTGAGGTTGGATGGAGAGCGTTTGTGAACAGCAGTCTTCAGCTCTTTCCACAGATTCTCGGTTTGATTCAGGTCTGGACTTTGACTTGGTCATTCCAACACCTGGATATGTTTATTTGTGAACCATTCCATTGTAGATGTGGCTTGATGTTTTGGATCATTGTCATGTTGGAAGATAAATCTTTGTCCCAGTCTCAGGTCTCTTGCAGACTCAAACGGGTTTTCTTCCAGAATGGTCCTGTATTTGGCCCCATCCATCTTCCCATCAATTCTGACCATCTTCCCTGTCCCTGCTGACGAAAAGCAGGCCCAAACCATGATGCTGCCACCACCATGTTTGACAGTGAGGATGGTGTGTTCAGGGTGATGAGATGTGTTGCTTTTACACCAAACATATTGTTTTGCATTGTGGCCAAACAGTTTGATTTTGGTTTCATCTGACCAGAGCACCTTCTTCCACATGTTTGGTGTCTCTCAGGTGCGTGTGAGTAACTTTAAACAACACTTTTTATGGATATTTTTGAGAAATGGCTTTCTTCTTGCCACTCTTCCATAAAGACCAGATTTGTGCAGTGTACGACTGATTGTTGTCCTATGGACAGACTCTCCCACCTCAGCTGTAGATCTCTGCAGTTCATCCAGAGTGATCATGGGCCTCTTGGCTGCATCTCTGATCAGTCTTCTCCTTGTTCGAAATGAAAGTTTAGAGGGACGGCCGGGTCTCGATATATTTGCAGTGGTCTGATACTCCTTCCATTTCAATATGATTGCTTGCACAGTGCTCCTTGGGATGTTTAAAGCTTGGGAAATCTTTTTGTATCCAAATCCGGCTTTTAACTTATCCACAACAGTATCTCGGACCTGCCTGGTGTGTTCCTTGGTCGTCATGATGCTCTCTGCGCTTTGAACAGAACCCTGAGACTATCACAGAGCAGGTGCATTTATACGGAGACTTGATTACACAGAGGTGGATTCTATTTATCATCATCATCAGTCATTTGGGACATCGGATCATTCATAGATCCTCACTGAACTTCTGGAGTGAGTTTGCTGCACTGAAAGTAAAGGGGCCCAATAATATTGCACGCCTCACTTTTCAGTTTTTTATTTGTTAAAGTTTGACACATCCAATAAATTTCATTCCACTTCACGATTGTGTCCCACTTGTTGTTGATTCTTCACAAAAAAATAAAATTTTATATCTTTATGTTTGAAGCCTGAAATGTGGCGAAAGGTTGAAAAGTTCAAGGGGGCCGAATACTTTCACAAGACACTGTAGGACAAATAAACCCAACCTGAACCTATTTCTCTATTTTACTAAAAGTTGCAGCACTGACACATGAAAACTCCTAATTGCTTAATAAATTATATATGTTTATTACATTTTACTCCTCAAGACCTCATCATTCTGCATGCCAATGGAAATTTGCAACATCTGTCATGTTGTGCTCAGTGATAAAGCTGCACAATTAGAGTGGCCTTTTATTGTGGTCAGCCTAAGGCACACTTGTGCAATAATCATACTGTCTAATCAGCATCTTGATATGCCACACCTGTGAGGTGGTTGGATTATCACAGCAAAAGAGAAGTCAGAGTCAGAGTTTCTTTATTGTCATTCGCACCTCATGTGGTACATGTGGTGGAGCGAAATTATGTACACAGGGTCCCAGTTACATCCAACAATAAAATGTATAAGAAAAACAGTAATAACATCTAAGATATGAACTAAGAAAAACATCAACTAAATATACACTAAGCACTCATAACATAAAACATTGAACATCAGCACAAACATGAACATGAGTCTGTGAGCAGATGTGCACGCATGAACACATCAACATTGAAACAGATCAGCAGCAACATGAAACATGAAGTGCTCACTAACACAGATTTACACAAACTTCTGAACAATATTTGAGAAAAAGGCCTGTCGTGTAAAAAGTCATAGATGTTTGAGTTCAGCTCGTGAAAAATGGGAGCAAAAACAAAAGTGGTACGTTTATATTTTTGTTTAGTATATATCCATCCATCCATTATCGTGACCCGCGTCTTCATTTTTGGGTTGTGGGAGTCACTTGTGCCCATGTCCAGCAATCACTGTGCGAGAGGCGGGGGACATCCTGGACAGGTCTCCAGTCCATCACAGGGACACATAGAGACAAACGAGACAAACAACCATTCACTCTCTCACACCTATGGACAATTTAGTCACCAATCAGACTAACATGCATGTTTTTGATCTGTGGGAGGAAACCGGAGTACCTGGAGAAAACCCACGCATGCACGGAGAGAACATGCAAACTCAAGTAATGCGATAGATTTATCAGCTGCGGTGCCAATGCAATATATATTATATTTCCCACAACATCCTTGTAAAAGAGATTAATAATCTCAATGGATTTCTTTCCTGGTAAAATAAAGGTTTCAATAAGCAAAAAATATTAGCTCATGAGCTAAAGTCACATATTAGCTCATGAGCTAAAGTCACATATTAGCTCAGGAGCCAACGTCACATATATTAGCTCAGGGGCTAACGTCACATATATTAGCTCAGGAGCTAACGTCACATATATTAGCTCAGGGGCTAACGTCACATATATTAGCTCAGGGGCTAA